GACAGGGTCACTCCTGTCCCTGCCTGAAATATTTCTCTAGGAATTCTTCTATTGTTATTTTCAACCATACTTAGATTATATGTATTGGCTGGATTTTTCTCCAAAAAATCTAATTACAAAAGAGATATGCAAAATATTATATGTAGTAGATCAAAATTAACTAAGGGTTATTAGACTAATTGAAGTCAATGAGTCTATTTCAGAAAAATTATTTTGAGGCTGGAAGCCTAAAGCAGTTAAGGGAACAAAGGAAAGATTTAATAGTCTTTTCAGTTCTTGATTTGTGGATCTTTTACAGTTTAATTTACATTAAACACATTATTAAACAAAACATTAAACCTGTGATTAATTCTGATTAATAATATGAAAAATTGAACAATGAATTGGAGGAAAATAAATGCTTTTTTATTTCTACTATCCATTTATTTTAATGTGACAGCTTCATGTCCACCAAAATATTATTAATAAGTCACTTTTTCTTTTAAGTACCACATTTCAGAACTGAAGTTGACTTATAGGGTAGCAAAGAATGGAAGTTTGGCTTTGAGATTCTCTTGCTTTTGTTTCTGAATTGACAATTGTATTTATTTCTTCCTCTGATTTTTTCTTGTTTCTAAGGGTATCTCCTTGTACCTTTGAGTGGCCATGAGCATTAATCTCAGAGAAAGAGGGGGTGAAGCTAATAGTTATCTATTCCAAGGAAGAGCTGGGTCCACTCAGGGTCCACTCAACATCTGGAGGTGCCTCCCATACCTGGAATCTGGAAGAAAGATAGAAGGGCAACATTCTGCCATCCCATTCGCTTCATTCTCCTATGGGCATATTTTTATTTAGGCTTTGATTCCTTGGGCTTCTGATCTAGGGCTATTGAAAATTGGGAACCATGACACACTTCTCTTTCACTTATAACCAGATAAATAGAGCTGGGCTTTCTTTCCTAATCACAAAGCAGTATAAGATCATCCTCTACCCTGAGTTTAGAGAATCTGTGTATTAAAGATTAACTTGAATATTATGGAAGGGAGAAAAATTATAACTATGAACATCATAGCTTGAAAATGAATTACATTAACTTCATTTGTGGCTTAGAGGCATTCTCTTTGAAATACTGAAATCTAATTCAAGAGCGATATGTTCCGGTATCGTAATGATTTACATTCATCTTGGTAAGCTCTTCTATCCACAAGGAATTAAATTCCCAAGCCATCTCATGGATTAAAACAATATCATCACCGTTAGGCCATTCTGATACCTTAATTGTTATTACAGTATCACCTTAAATATTAAGCTGTAATTTTGTTACTGTTTGAGTGATGCTTGGGGGAAAGAAGAAGTCTTGTGGAATTTTCGAGGTGGCTGGATGCTGCTGCTGCTTCTTCTTCTTCTTCTTCTTCTTCTTCTTCTTCTTCTTCTTCTTCTTCTTCTTCTTCTTCTTCTTCTT